AATCTCATAGTTAAATAAGCTTTATGCGTAAGTTAACTATTTTTTTTATCTATTTCTATTATTTTCAACTAATTCATTAAATAATGATTAAATATCTTTGTATTTTTCATTTCTTTTTTTGCATCAGACCATATTGATATTTTTTACTGTATGCCATTTTTTATTGTATAACATTTAACGGATAATTTTATGTCACAAAATTGAATAAATAAATAAATAAGATTACATACTTTCATTAGCACTCCAAAAAACGCATGGCACTGTTCCAGTGCAATAGGAAGGTGTGCTAACGTTGTTAGATTCTTTTAGTGTTGTTCGAACTGCACCGGGTACAGGAAGTTCCTACAAGTTTTAACAATGTCTTAAATATTTGCAACAATTAATGTTGTATAATATAAATTCAAACAAGGAATACCTTTTTTAAGTAAAGTTCCGACATTATGATCGAATATATAAGATAAATAATAATTGCAACTTGAAGCATGCGATGTAAAATGCCCCATCGACTGAAAACAAATGCCATATCAATCATTATATAAAAACATTTATATCAGAAGATTTCAGAATATACGCCACTTACCTTGGTATTGTGACCAATCTACCAGTTGTGAAGCTATAGAGAACAAATATAAATATAAATATCTATTTATTTAGTATTATATGCTAACGTCGCTAAAAATTCTTCTTACGTTTCGCAATTGAAAATTTTCATCATTTTTGCAAATAAAAATGTATCGTACACTTAATTGATAAAGAATGCTATGATTTATTGTATCAGAAAAATAAAGTTTAATGCAGATTTAATTATTTCGAGAGATGTGTTACGTAATTACGTCTGTACGTACGTACGTACGGTGCAGGAAATTTAAAGACATCAATCTCCATGATGGGCATCAGGGCACAAAATTTTTCCGGGTGATGTAACCTGCTTTTTTTTCGGTAAACGAAATTTAGAAACTCCCGCAATATATTTAATATTATAAAATTTCCGGTCACTTTAAAACTACGCCGGAAGTCAACTAAATGGACCTCCGGAATTTTACAATAGAATTTTGTGCCCCTAATGGGCATAGAAATAATACGCCAAGAATAATATACACTTAAGTGGAACTGTTTTATGCATACGGCTGAAAGTTAAGAATAAGCGCTACTTAATTTAGCTAATATCCAATGCGTTGGTCGTTTTTTGTTCTATATAAAGTGATTGAAATTTTTAGGTTTCTTGCATCGTAAACTTACGTACGTACATGTTTAAAATTTGCAAAAAAATGACGATAAATTACGAAACGAATATACTAGCGGCAATATTCTTAAGTTATTACGTATTAGTATTGTGATTTATGTATGAATAATTGTGACATCATTTAACACTATATGAATGTGATATACCAAGATAAGATTATCGATTACCCATCTGTATAAAGACAATTAACTACTATACATTATCGATATAATAATACATTACGATTACAGAGATGATTTCCACTTAATAAAGTATTTGCATACCTTATTGATGCATATAATTTAGGAAATACAATACTTGATACGTACGGTACTTGTTTATAGTCTCGATTAGAGATGCTCTGCTGATCGGCTCTATTGATTAATCGGTTTTTATTATACTGAATATACAAGCCGATCAGGCGATTTTGCATCTCTAGTCTCGATAAGGAGATTGGGTTTTAAAAACTAGTCTAAGCATCCACGACATCTACAGTACCCTCAGACAGTATATCACGGTTACATAAAAAAGCACATATGAAATATACTAAAAGAAATGTAGAATGCAGCAACAATTACCAACCCCAAGAACATATGAAAAATTGAAGACAACGCTTTTAGAGAAATAGGAAAGGCTAGATACATCAATTTTCATGAATTTAATCAACAATATTCCAAATCATACTGCTGAAGTTATTTCTAATGGAGGTTATGGCTGCAAATACTATATAGTTATTGAATGCGTAGCAGACAATAACTTGTTATTTGATAAGCGTAACAATTATATCGTGATCTGTAAGATCACGATATGATTGTTACGCTTACAAATAACTGAAAGTATCAGCCGGCGAATTTGGTCGTGAGATGGCTGAGCCCAGACATCGAACGATCCAATTCTCCCCGCCTAATACGTCAGTTATTGGCGCAAAGCATTCAATAACAATACCCTACGACGATCGGGACGTTTACAATGAAAATTAAGCTTAATAAACCAAATTTTTTTGAATGTGATTTTGATCATTTTCACTTACAAAGATGAACTCATCTTTAATAAATCTAAATAGTATATTTTAATGAAGGAAAATATTACAAACCAAATAAATGAAATTATTACAAACCAAATAAATGAAATTATTAATAGTACGATTCTATTGAATACCCAAAATGAACGGCAAAATAAGTTGGAATTTTATGGCTTGGCGATTTGATGTTGGTTACAATTATTGCTTTAAATCTATTACGAATAAAATTTAAATTCACATGAAAAATTTAAAAAATTTATTTAATTCTTCAGAACAAGTAATAAAAATAATAGCAATAATAATCGAAAACAAGTCGCAAATAAATTTATAATTTTAACATCAGTTGTAGATTATACGAAAGTAAATCTCTATTAAGGACTAACACATGTAAAGAATACAAAAAACAAAAAAGGAAAGAAAAGGGCTAATTCGTGTACTGTAATTAAAAATAATAGAAATAGATAAAAAAAATAGTTAACTTACGCATAAAGCTTATTTAACTATGAGATTTTATTTAGTATCAGTTACCCCGATCGAAACAAATCATGAAACTATTTTAAATGCTTAGCTAATTAAAAATTACCAAATAACTGTAGTTACTTACTGTTATTAATTTGCTAAGCAATAAATTTACATGTTTAGAAAATTCATGTTGTTTTTTTCATGTAACCGTGATATATTTTCTAAGGGTACTATACAAGCGTCATTATACGCGGAGGTCCAACTAAATCTCCTAAAATCTTGTCTTTACACCCTAGCTGGTATGCTTCGATTGAGGTGTGGCTTGATTTAGTCCGAGAATAAGATGTTTTACAATTGCTGCGGTGGTCACAGGAACAAGACAATACAATTTATGAAATGTGATAACAACGACAACTAAAGGAATACTCAAAGGAGACTGCTACTATTATTCATTCGTGTTTGAACTCAAAGATATGTCACTTATTTGCAGTAGTTTTTCAAAGCGGTTAACCCATTTTTCTTTTACTAATTTACATTTCATTTTTCTACTGTAATACAATATATTTTTTTTTTTTAGTAATCTCTGATAGCTTAGCTTTCTAAAAACGTGAATAAAATATTAATATTTTTTACTTCGCCTTTCACAACTTTTTTTTTTTGCAATCTGATTGGCTGATTCGCAAATGACTTACGATATGAGTGTCGCTAAAAGAAAACCCGAAAATTTAAATTTAAATTTTCGGGTTTTCTTTTAGCGACACTCATATGATTGGTCAACAATCACGTGGAGTCATTCTGAAATCATTTCCACATTTGGACGGTCCCTCCTGGACAGGTGGCGTTTTCCCAGCCATTTTACGAATTACCTTACAAAGTATCATGTCATACCGATACTCACATAAAAAATGGATAAAACAAAAGTTATAAATTATCTGAATGATATTGATGAACAGGGCACAAAATTTCCGAGTGATGTAACCTGCTTTTTTTTTTCGGTAAACGAAATTTAAAAACTCCTGCAATATATTTAATATTATAAAATTTCCGGCCGCTTTAAAAACTACGCCGGAAGTCAACTTACATGATTTAAGTTCTTTTTATTTTGAAATTAGCAAAGATAGTTTATGTAACTAAATGGACCTCCGGAATTTTACAATAGAATTTTATGCCATAAATTACGAATCGAATATACTAGCGGCATTATTCTTAAGTTATTACTTATTAGTATTGTGCATAATTGTGACATCATTTAACACTATATGAATGGATATACCAAGATAAGATTATCGATTACCCATCTGTATAGAGACAATTAACTACTATATATATATACATTATCGATATAATAATACATTACGATTACAGAGATGATTTCCACTTATAAAGTATTTGCATACCTTATTGATGCATACAATTTAGGAAATACAATACTTGATACGTACGGTACTTGTTTATAGTCTCGATTAGAGATGCTCTGCTGATCGGCTCTATTGATTAATCGGTTTTTATTATACTGAATATACAAGCCGATCAGGCGATTTTGCATCTCTAGTCTCGATAAGGAGATTGGGTTTTAAAAACTAGTCTAAGCATCCACGACATCTACAGTACCCTCAAACAGTATATCACGGTTACATAAAAAAGTACATATGAAATATACTAAAAGAAATGTAGAATGCAGCAACAATAACCAAGATTATTTTTACGTTGAATTTCCTTTTTTGGGTTTGTATCACTCGCACAAATAAGTATTTCCCAATAACCACCCCAAGAACATATGAAAAATTGAAGACAACGTTTTTAGAGAAATAGGAAAGGCTAGATGCATCGATTTTCATGAATTTAATCAACAATATTCCAAATCATACTGCTGAAGTTATTTCTAATGGAGGTTATGGCTGCAAATA